CGGTATGTCATTTTTTTTCTGTATCTCCATATTTAACCATTTTGTCTTGTTTTATTGCTTCATTTAGTGAAAGCAGACCAACTAAGGCACGAGATAGCAGTGTTTCACCAGAAAAAATGAGAAAGAAGAGAATAAGTGGGTGGGCAATAAATCAATAGAAACATGAATATCATTATTTTTGTACAAATCAAATGATTTCATGCTAAATATATTTGTTAAACACATTCTTTTTTCCATTCAGATGCAGTTCCAGAGATTCTTGACATCAGTGCCATCCAAGACTGGACCAGTGAAGAAGTTATACAACCTTTTTGTAGTAAGAATTAAAAAAAATAAAATCAGAATAACAGCTGTGGAGGGCCTCATGTCTTTGCTTGCCTTAGGCCCCCAAATTGCTAAATCCGCCCCTTCTCTCATGATGCATGTTTTCAATTTTTTGAACCAGTTAACTGGGATTTTAACGGTTAAATTCGGTCAACTAGTTGCTAACAGAGCTAATAGGGCTGAAATATTGAAACGAATATTCAAATGGTTTGAAAAAAATCCATCATTTTTTACTGATTCAAACTAGGATTTGTTAAATGCTCACTGCAGCCCGTGGCCTGCCTGAACAACAACAAACACATGTTGATCATGTTCACATGATAATAAATAAAACAACTGTACAAGCAGAAGAAAACTCCCCAGTCACCACTAACTATCCTGTTTATTTATTGCAGATGGCTGCACTGATTATTTTTTACATGATTTGTTCTGTAAAAGTTGGCATTTTTGGTAGTCTACAGTTTTTTTTATGTCAGTTTAAATTACAATTTCAGAGTTTCACGTTGCGGGTGTGGATGACGGCGGACCATGTGTGGAGGAGCTGACCAGGAGGCAAAAGTGCAGGCTCGGAGAAAGTAAAACTGGTTTTAATGGCAAAGCGGGAACGACAGAACAAAACAACGCTGACAACAAACAACAATGATCCGACAAAGACTCAAACAAGACGGGAGGTATTAATACTCAGGGAAACAATCAGGAACACGTGGGCAGATTAACAAGGGGCAGGTGAGAACAATAAAGACCAATCAGGAGGCAGGAGCAGATTGTGACACAGAGGCAATTCTAAAATATTATGGATCATGGTAAAGATCTATTGGAGATCTACCCCAACTTTTGGACTGCTCTGCCAGTCACTGTGGCTCAAGCTGAGAGGAGCTTTTCAAAACTTGATCAAGTCACACCTGAGGTCAGCTATGTTTCAGGGGCGGCTCACTAACCTGGCTCTGATTAGTATCAGTCACTCAGTAGGGGAGCAGATTTCATATGATGACATTATTGATGACTTTGCATCAAGGTTAGGTTTTAATTTTAGTTTGTGTTTTCTGTTCTAAGTGCAATGCTGTAGTGATTATCTTTAGTTTGTTTAGTGTGAAATATTTTTGCTATTTAGAATATTTATTATATATTATGTTCATATATTCTTAATATTTAGTTACTTTAGTTGTTTTTGTATATTTGATTCTATATATTTTGATACAGTATATAATGTATATTGCTGTACATTCTGACAACTTCATAGTAATTAATGTAAATATGTGCAACTTAGAAAAATGAATGTTCAATAGTCGTTCTAATAAACATGCCTGTTTGTAGAAAACATGAGTGTGTTCGTGCAGGTGGAGTGGTGTGGTGGTGGTGGGGGGGCGGGGGGCTCAAAGGGGGCCTCGCCCGGGGAGTAATTCCATGTAGAACCACCACTGCCTGTACCAGAGGCTTGGGAGCTTGAGGGTTCTGCACACCTTCCAGTCCATATTCTGCTCAAATGTTTCTGTACACTATGCCAGCCACTTGGTTGTGGCATTCCATGTATGCTTTCCCTGCCTGCATCTTACCCTGCAGTTATGCGATGGATTGCCACAGGGGCCAATTTGCATAGCCTACACCTTGGGTCTTGTCTGGCGTGGTAGATCTTGGCCTCTTGTTGCTCTGGTGTTCAGGGCCTGTTCCGGTGCAGTCGGGATGAGTGTGTGCGGTCCTTCAGACCAGCTCTTTCTAGCCATTGGTGGGATTTCTTGATATAAGCCCTTTCAGTTATCTATCGGTGGTACATCCCATCTAGGAGTTTGTCCTCCCGTGACTGTATTTCCATCGTCTCCTTCTCTGGTCGCCATTGTTGGGGCCTTATCCTTGATGTACTTATGGATCTTGGTTGCTTCATCCTGGAAAGTGGCTCTCACACTCATTAGTCCACTGCCTCCTTCCTCATGGCTAGTGTACAGTCTCAGGGTGCTGGATTTGGGATGGAATTTTCCATGCGTGGTTAGGAGCTCCCGTGACTTAACATCTGTGGTATGTATTTCTTCCTTTGGCCAGCTTATCCTTACTGCAGGAGATCTGATTACTGGCAGGGCATAGCGGTTTATCTTCCAGATCTTGTTCTTGCCATCAAGATTACTTCTTAGGACTTCCTGCGTGCGAGCTGAGCATGCGTGCATTGAGAGCAGGAGGTTTTTTTGCCGCCTGGGCGGTGCGAGGCTGCGCTTTGACATGAGGGCAAAGCTTGCATCACTGGCAACGGGTGAAGAGATAAATGTGTAAAACAACAAAGTTTTTTCATGGTGTAAGTTTTGTAAACATTTGTTACAAATCAGTAGACTCAGTCCTGACAGCCTTCCATAGAAGGAAACCTTGCATCCAATATGACGTCACCCAGAGACTTAGATCCTTTTGATCTATTTTTAGAACAGATTTTTGTTGTTATACGTTATAAATCTTCCAAAACTTTTCAACAACTGGGCATCTTTTAAGTCATTTACTACAACATTTTGATGGATATTTCCAGAGATTAACTGTAAAAACTACACATTGTCACTTTAAATTGTGCCATTTGTATGGTATGGTATGTTTTTAACACCACTGAAATTTCTGTCCAAGAGAAAAGGGAAAAACTAGTTTAGGACCATCCCTCAGAGGCTCACATCATCCATCCATTGTCTTCCGCTTACCTGGAGTCGGGTCACGGGGGCAGCAGCCTAAATCGAGAAGCCCAGACTCCCGTCTCTCCAGCCACTTGGGCCAGCTCCTCTGGGGGTACCCCACAGCGTTCCCTGACCTGGCGAGAGACATAGTCCCTCCAAGGTGTCCTGGGTCACCCTTTAGGTCTCTTCCTGGTTGGATGTACCTGGAAAACCTCACCAGGGAGGCGTCCAGGAGACATTCTGACCAGATGCCCGAGCCACCTCAACTGGCTTCTCTCAATGTGCAGGAGCAGTAGATCTACGCTGAGCCTTTCCTGCATGACCAAGCTTCTCACGCTACCTCTAAGGGAGAGGCCAGACACCCTGCAGAGAAAACTCATTTTGCCTCGTGGCCCAGCCCTCTTTAAACCACGACAGACCGGTACAACGCCCACATCACTGCAGACGCAGCACCAATCCGCCTATCGATCTTGTGCTCCAGCTTTCCCTCACTCGTGAACAAGACCCCGAGATACTTAAACTCCTCGACTAGGTGCAGGACCTCATCCCTGACCCGGAGAAGGCGTTCTACCCTTTTCTAACATAAGACTATGGTCTCGAATTTAGAGGAGCTGGTTCTCGTCCCAGCTGCTTCACACTCGGCTGCGAACCGCTCCAGCGAAAGCCAACAGGACCACATAATGTGCAAAAGCAGAGACCCAATTCTCAAGCCACCAAAACAGATGCCCTCCACACCTTGGCTGCGCCTAGAAATCCTGTCCATAAAGGTTATGAACAGAGTCGGTGACAAAGGGCAGCCTTGGCGGAGTCCAACTCTCACTGGGAACGAGCCCGACTTACTGCCGGCAATGCGGACCTAACACCGGTCATACAGGGACCTAACAGCCCGTATCAGAGGGCCTGGTACCCCATACTCCCACAAGGCCCCCGAGGGACACGATTAAATACCTTCTTCAAATCCACAAACACTTGTAACAACTCACCACCAGGTAGTGGTCAGTTGACAGCTCCACCCCTCTCTTCACTCAAGTGTCCAAAGCATGCGGGCGCAGATCAGCTTAAATGATGGCAGGAACTGCGGCCTAAGGTATCCTGATGCCAAGAGCACATATAGACACCTTTATATCTGAACATGGTGTTCATTATGGACGATCAATGATGAGCACAAAAGTCCAATAACAAAACACAGCTCGAATTCAGATCGGGCGGGGCGTTTCTCCCAACCACACCTCTCCAGGTCTCACTGTCATTGCCCACGTGAGCGTCAAAGGCGCCCAGCAGAACGAGGGAGTCACAAGAAGAAGCACTCTCCAGCACCCCCTCCAAGGTCTCCAAAAAGGGTGGGTAGTCTGAACTGTAGTGGAGGGCTGCCAGCTTAGAACGTCACAAAGGATCATATCAGGATCTCATGATCAATCGTGTCAAATGCTGCAGAGAGATCCAAAAGACAGACCTGTGTCCAGGACTTTTAAAATGGGGTGGCCCATGTGGGGCACTTGTTTATTCATGGGTGGCACCAATGGTTATGCTTATTTATTTATACAAATCGTTTATTTGTTTATTTACTTTCTAGTGACTTTTTGAGTTTCACATTGCACAATCACCATTTTTTTCCCTCTTCATCTTCTACTTTTGTGGTGGTTAGCAAGTCACTTCTTGTTGCATTACTGCCACCAACTGGAGTTGAGTGGGACTCTAAATCCTATGTATGTGAATATGAAAAAATATTAAATAATATTAATACTACCTGCCTGGGCTGGAAGACAAGGTGAAAGGTGCACGCAACCACACACTATTTTGGAGTTTACAACCCAAAACTTTAGTCGACAATGTAAAGTCAATTTAAACTGGAACTTAGTGGGGGTGGCCATTCAGATTCTAAGGGTGGCATGTGCTACCCCAGGCCACTCCCTGGACACGCCCCTGCCAAAAGACAGGCTACTGCAATTTTACCAGAATCTACAGCTTTCAGGAGGATATCAGTGCAGAAAGTGTGTGAGTTTGAGTATGATGGTGTGTGCTCTGTGTGCTCCGTACCCTTCAGAGAGCATCTTCTTGATCCGCTCCTTCTCAGAAGAAAGGGTGATATCTGCGCTCTGGCTACGGAACAGCTTCTCCTCCGGTCCATTCACACACATTACCAGTGGAGACTGGAGCTCATCTGAGAGGTCCTGAGAAACAAGTGAAAGGACTTTGTTGATGAGACACAGCATTAGAAAGAAAACCAGACTCGGCACTAAAATGGAGTTTAACTGGAGGAAACGGATTAAACCAAGCAGTTAATTTTCTTGCATCATAAACACAGAGCAACAACAAACTCACCTGTGAGAACTGGAGAAAGCCATGAAGCAGAAAAACAAAAACAGACAAGGAGCCGATCATCACCAATAACATGATATTCTCCCAAACTCCCAAACTTTAGGTTTCTTGGGAGGATCATTGCTGCAGCCAGGTAATGATATCTAATGCTTAAAGGTGTGGAACACTGAAACACCACCTTTTAAATCTTATATCTGATTTTATTCGGTCACTATGAGTTTTTCTTGCAGGGTGAACATGAAAACTGTCTCCTACACCTATCTCCTGTATTAGCCTCTGATATTTAACAACAGTGAAACTCTAGGATTTGAAAAGCCCGACAGATCTACGTCACACCGTCACTGAACATTCATGGACTCACAGATCCTGACTTGCAATGGGGAAGGCTGTTGTTAGTTTAGCATCCAGGAAACAGCAGAGAACTACTCAACTAGTAGAAGCTAATCATTAGCATTAGCAACTCCACCACTAAGCAGAACTCCTCCAGGCTTGTGTTGTTTGAGGAGATAAAGCGTCAACGTCGCAGAGCAAAAAGAGTCAGTGGTACGGCCCTGTTGCTGTCATCCAATCTGAGGCAAATGTCCAAATATCAGAGAAGAAGAGTCCAAATCCTGCTGTCTGAAGCTACTTTCTCCTCCAGCTGAGCTCTTCGTGCCGATTCTGTTGAATCATTTCCTGCCCTTTCTCTCTAACCTTCCTGCATGCTGCATGTTTTCTCCGTCTTCCAGAAAAACTGTTTCCTAGACTTCCTACTTTCTAACTAATCAGCCAAAGGGACCTTAACACGTGCTGCGCTCCAGCTGCAATGAGTTGAAATCACCGGGGTACAGATTATGAACTCAGCTGAGGCAAAGCACGTCAGAAAAGCACAGAAAGTACCAGAGAATATGTGCCGACATGAACGATCGCAGGTGAATTGTTTTGTTTTAGTGGATCAGTTTTGTGAATGTTACAGCGGCCGCGTGCAGGACGCAGCTGGAGCATGGACGTAATTTTCACTTTAGAAGTGGGGGGGACACGGGGGAGGGAGGAGGGGGGAGGGGTATCTTTACGGTATGCTCTAATGGGAAACAGACTTCAACACAAACGGTTGTTTTCCGCTTGGTCCTAGAGCTCATCCAGTGTTAATTTAATATAGCGTAATATTGTTTTGGATGGTAAAAAGTGCAGGGGTCAAAACTTGACTTTGGAAAATGGAGGGGGGGGGGACATGTCCCCCCTGTCCCCCCCCCAAAATTACGTCCATGAGCTGGAGTAGTTGAGCCGTTACCGTTACAGCAAAAAGCAATGCATTACAGTAATTAATTACTTTCGTGCCGCGTTACTCCCAACACTGCTGCTAACGTCCGCAGGTAGAAGGTTCTGAACGGATGTGAACAGCAGGTGATCATTCTACTGTCGTCCTAGTTTTTCTCACCTCCACTTGCCTTAGAAACAAGTGACCCAGCTCAGTCTTCTTTAGCTATTTTCTGTTCCTCCTCTCTGTGGACAGAATCACTGAAGCGTTGTGCTTCTGACCCTACCTGAACCTGATCTGGAGGAGGATGTTTTTACCATTTTATTCTGAAGCTTGCACATGTTAGCTTTTTTTTGTTGTGTTATGGAGAGCAGAGGTCACCTGAGGAGCAGCAATAGTAAGCGCTGTGTTGGCCAGCTCTTTGTCCTGGGATTTTTCTTGTGCCAGACGAGCAGCATCTTTAACTTCTTTGAACTTCTCTGAAAACTTTGAAACAAACAAGCAAAGTCCTGATAAGTTTCTGTAAATTATCTGTAGGTCATGCTGAAAAGCAGGTTTAGGTGAAGGCCAACAAAACGGTCATTACCTGGTAGAGCTGCTGCTCGGTGGCGAAGCCGAGCCCATAGACGGTGTTGGCTTTGCTGTCAGCCCACTGACCAAACTTCTGGGATGTCTTGGTGTATGTCATGCTGGGTGTGACTGTGCAGTTGATGATTGCCTGCAGACACACAAGTAACACAAGTCAACTTCTACAAGCTATAGAAACAAGCTTCTTTCTGAAGACGTTTCACGTCCATCTGAAGAACATTTTCATCCACCCATCCATTTTCAGCTGCTTATCCAGGATCAGGTCGCGGGGGCAGTAGCCTATACAGGGAGGCCTAGACTTCCATCTCCCCGGCCACTTAGGCCAGCTCCTCCAAGGAAATCCTAAGGTGTTTCCTGGCCAGCCAAGAGACATAGTCCCCCCAGCGTGTCCTGGGTCTTCCTTTAGGTCTTCTCCTGGTTGGACGTTGAGGACGTTTGCCAATCCTTGTTGTTTTTATTCTTCAATTAACTGATTCCATGTAATTTCCTCTGTGGCGAACATGTCTTTAAAAAGGGGGCGTGACCCAATCAGGTGTGTCTGATTGGCCCGCTGACAGTGAGAGGAAAAGACGCAGACAAGAGGAAGAAGGAGTGCTATTGAGGGAGGAAAAAGGAATTTTGAAAAAGGAGATTTTTGGGAAAATAACTGAGGAGAGCCAAAGGAGTAAGAAGAACGCCAGTCAACAGCGGAGATTAAGAGGAGGATGGTTTCACTATTTCGGTTGGACATGCAGCTGTTTCAGCCAGTGTTCACTTCCTAGTGGGACCTCTGTGATTATGCTCTTCTGCAAATGCCACGGGTCCCATCAGGAGAAAGGCTGAGCTCACGCAGGCTTCCTTGAGTAAAATTTGAGTTTGACCGTGAAAGTGCAACCAATCACAGAGTCGTTAGATTAGCAGCTTCATCGTGGCTGATGCTAATTCATTATTAATTGGGAGGACAAATAAGCTGCAGATTTTTTGGTGTGTGTGTGGTTGATGACTCTATCTGGGTTGATACTTAAGTTACCAAAATAATTAAAGGCAGGGTCCGTAAGCTGACGTCATCAGGACGAGGAGATTTTAATGTTTGAGAGGCTGTTGCTCACTTCTCTGCCCTTCCTGAAAAAGCCGAAAGCCATGCCTCCTAACGTGCATGCACAAGGAGAGCCGAGTCAATTCAACTCACTTAAGTTCAATTGAAGTTCAATTCAAGTTTATTTATAAAGCACCAAATCACGACAAGAGTCGTCTCAAGGACCTTCACACAGGAAACATTCCAATACAGGTCAGGTCATTAAGCCAATCAGTAAAAAGTTTCTTATATAAGGAACCCAGCAGGTCGCATCGAGTCACTGACTAGTGTCAGAGTCTTTACAGCAATCCTCATATTAAGCAAGCATGTAGCGACAGTGGAAAGTCAACAGAGAGAGCATAGCTACTTTGACTCAGAGCTGAGCTGGTGTTAGCAATGGAGTTTTCTAAGGTAAGAATCAGAATCAGAATGAATTTTATTGCCAGCGCTCCAGATCAGAGCATAGGAACTTGACTCCATGGTACAACCTGACCAAGGTTACACACACACATATAGACAGGACAGATACAGGCAGACCATGGGAGCAGCCATGACGGCGCTCCTTTTGTAGATGAATGAGGGAATACATGAGGAAAGTTCAGGGGAGGGAGAAAAAAGGCATTAACAGGGTTACAACAGCAGGGAGTAGCACTCTAATGCAAAAAACACCCGACATGTAAGCACGAACGTCACAGTTCACTACATGAGACCCGGTAGGTAGGGGGAGGGGCTGGGATCCTGGTTTCCTCAGCGGGGGCGGCCTGTGTGGCGCTCGACCAGCTGGCTCCGCAGGTGGGAGGGAGGTCATGGGGAAGCACAGAGAACAGTGAATCCTTTAGCTTAATGACCTCGGTAGAGACCACAATCTGAAGGCGGGGTGGGGGGGGGGGGGTGGATAGAGTTTCACAGCATTTGTCTGCATTCCTTCCATCGTGGGTTTTTTGCACGCAACTCCAAGGCTGCTTATGGCATCAGATTCGATAACAGAACTTTGTTTGGGTCAGGCAGAGATAATTTTTCCTCTCTGCCTTAAGTCTGTATTGATCATTCAAGTCCTCCAGTGAAGCCAATTCAGTGATTAAACATCTCCACATGGTCCGGTGACCCTTTCCGAGATGTTATCAATCCTGCGCGCTAACACCGGTAACACAGCTAAGACATTGTCCAGCTTGCGATTCACCTCGAGCAACGTCCCAGTCTGTGAGGTATCCACACGGACGGTGCCGTCCATGGTTGCGGGTCGCCCTCCAATCGCTCCCGTCATCCCAATTTTACGGAAAGCCAGATATCCTCCCACTCCAATCAGAAGAAATCCAGCGATCATCAGGCCAAATATCCACATATCTTCGACGTCCTCAATGGATAGCTGAGAGAGACAGATGATATTCCACTTCTTCCAGGAATCGAACATATATCCCGCTGCGTGTGTCCCTTGAGGGCAAGTGCGAGCCCCCTCCTCCGTCCTCATTGTAGAAAAAATCTTATCAATCGCGTTGAATGACCAATTAATTAAATCCATGCTGAAAAATAGTGATTTCCAGAGGAAATGCAGAGAAGCGCTCTGTAGGCAGACGGGACAAAAAAGAGCCTTGGGAAAATACAGATAAGGGAGGAAAGGCAGAAGCGACTGTTCTCTGTGAGTGCTGGAAGGATGTTGTTTCCAACAAAACTTTAGCTATTTACTTCTAACAAAAGTTTTTTTTATAAAGAATTTCTATAAATATATAATTTTAAAAAGACAAGTAATAGTTGACATAATCTATATTATAAATGAATCCACTGCTATCAAAATGTTAGCATTTTATCAGGAGTCACTAGCATATTATTAGCTTATCTTAACATTAGCTCCATGGGCTAGTTTACATTTTAAACTGCTACGTCATTCAAGAAGGGATGAATGAACATCATGGCATAGGAATCATTCAGCCACATGTCACCACATTCTGTTTTGTCTGCCTATAGCCCTGGTTGGAACCAGAGGCTTACTGGTTACTTTATGTGTTTGGTGCTGGGTTATAAGACAACCAGTAGTGGTTTAGGTCTCATTTGGACTAGGTGTAACCTGATCGTATTGTCTTTGTGTGTCAAATTCAGTTTACTTCTGTAGGGTATCAAATGGCCACCTTTTTCATAAAAAATGACCAGAAGTAAACTTTTAACTTACAGACCAAACTTCTTCATACAAGTCAATCTGACACCATGATGCCGATATGAAGAAATGAACTTGAGCCAATATTCTTGACTAATCCTACGTACGCCATGAGTCCTCAAGGCTGCAAGACGCAGGACTTCTTTCTATCCTCTTCGAATAAAGTCTATCTCCTGGCTGACACGCCGGACATCTGTCTAGTCCCAGACCTGCGCATGCGCTCTCTCACTCGAGGCCTTCACTTCCTGTGTCATGGTACCGTTTTTCTGCGCGACAAAGCCGCAGGATTGTGTGGTATTAGTGAGATGGCGGGAGATTCTAAATTTCCTGTGACAGTTACACCCTGATCGCACCTGTTACAGACTACGGCGGTTATTGTTGGTTGGCGCTGGTTTACTATGATCGCCATGACGTGTCCACTTGGGTTGAACCACCATCCCAAACTCTGTGGGTGTCAGTCCCTCGTGGTGCCATGTTGGTAAGGTCTCTTTGTATTACCTGGATTCAGATGATCACAGGCCTGTTGTAGGGTTTACTCATTTCTATGATAACATCTCCTCTGCTCTGTCTCCCGCTACGGTGAAACGTGTTATGTTCAACGATCCAGCCGTGGTTCAGGCTAATGCGGTAGAGTAGATACTGCATGAGCTCTATTCAGGTTCTGGCCTCAGCTTTCAGCCTGTGACTTATTCCTGGTCCTCCTCTGACTCGGTCATTTTCCTCTCTGCATGTTTCAACTGCTGTCTGTCACTTGGGTTGGTGTACGCACTGTTTGGTCACTCCTCTGCATGGTTGACCCCCTTGGGGGACTCGCTCCGTCTTTTGTGGAACTGTCTAAACATGGCTCTTATGCCTAAAGTTCCAAACTGTCCTCCGCCGCCACCACCAACCGGCGACCCGCCTCTAAATCAATCATCTGTTCTCGGTTTCAAATTACCCAAGTTCTATAATAATAATAATAATAATACATTTTATTTAAAAGCGCCTTTCAGGACACCCAAGGTCACTTTACACAAAACATGTAATAAAATACAATAAAACAATAATAAAACCCAAAGAAGAAAAAACAAAGAGAGAAACAGTTGAATAAAATCAGAGGTTGTAGGCAGATTTAAACATATGTGTTTTGAGTTTTGTTTTGAAAAGGGTAAAACTGTCGATGTTCCTGATATCTGGGGGAAGTGAGTTCCAGAGTCGAGGAGCAGAGCGGCTGAAAGCTCTGCTCCCCATGGTAGTGAGACGGGCAGAAGGAACCGCAAGATGGATGGAAGAAGATCTGAGTGAACGGGATGGGGTGTGAACACTTATAAGGTCTGAGATATATGGAGGAGAGAGGTTGTGGATTGCTTTGAAGGTATGAAGGAGAATTTTGAAGATGGACCTGAATTTAACTGGGAGCCAGTGAAGCTGCTGGAGAACCGGGGTGATGTGGTGAAAGGAAGGGGATCTGGTGATAATACGGGCTGCTGAATTCTGGACGAGTTGCAGTTTATGAAGGAGTTTGTTGGGGAGACCATAAAGAAGTGAATTGCAATAGTCGATACGGGAGGTGACGAGGCTGTGGACGAGAATGGCGGCAGTGTGAGGGGTCAGGGAGGGGCGGAGACGGTTTATAGAACGTAGATGGAAGTATGCTGACCGAATTAAGTTATTAATGTGAGCCTGAAAAGAAAGTGAGCTGTCGAGAATGACTGAAGTTGGATGAAGTTCTGTTGAGTGTGTGTGTGTGTGTGTGTGTGTGTGTGTGTGTGTGTGTGTGTGTGTGTGTGTGTGTGTGTGTGTGTGTGTGTGTGTGTGTGTGTGTGTGTGTGTGTGTGTATAATTCATGTCTAAACATAACGTACAGGCTTGGTTGGCTTTGATGTGTTCATGCTGTGGGTTTCTGAAGATCTGAGGTAATGACTAGTTTCATAACAGTGAAACGCGG